TAGATATAAACAAAATTAAATTAATTACAAATTAATAAAGAATTTGCTGATAAGTAAAAATGTACAATTTATTTTACAAATTAGTCTTTATACAAACTACACTGTATGAGTAAAATAAATTTTGAAGTATTAATTTTAATCAAAAATTACAATTCATGACATAACATTAGTTGTTTCAATATTTAAAATGCATTAATAAACTGATAAAAACTGTCAAATACAATATTTATTTGAAAAATTACGAGAATGAGGACTAATAAATTATTTACATTACTTAAATAATTATATTCAAATCATTTATTTACCTACAATATAATATAATTATAATTATAATAACTATAATTATAATGTAATTGTAATAATTATACTTATAATATAATATAATTTTAAGATTAATGTTTAAGATTTTTGTAAGTTGTGTTTATTATTTCTAAAGCTTTTATGGTTGGAGTATAACAGATTTTGAAAATAAAAAATTTGTCTGAAAAGGGTCCCCGTTTTATATACAAATATTCATAACCATACAAAAACGTAATAAATAATCGGTACAGGCTTAAAATAATTTGACTCAAGAATCATTTACATAGCTCCTCTGATAAAAGCACAACAAATTTTCAACTTCTTCAAAGTACTCCTTCAGACTCTGACATCTTAAAAATTAAATCGATAGTAGGAAACAATTCCCAGATACATAATGAATGCATAAAAATTAACAAGTTTCAACAATTATCTATTCAAATGCTGACAACAAAGTTAAAGCCCCTGATTCACTGCAAGATCTCGGCGCAGGTCGCATACCAGCAAGGGGTGCGCTTCAGCACAGGTCGAGTTCTACATTACCGGCAATTCAAAAGTTGGTAAAGAGGAATTAATTAACGCTTCAATCATAATTCTATTATCGGTGCATATACATCAGTTTTTACAAAAACGGGATAGCGAGATGTAATGAGAAATAAAGCGACACAAATTTACTGCTTGATTTCACAACGTCAACTTTGAACGTCGTTTAAACATGATCAAACATTTGCAATGTTACAACAAAAAATATTATTACTCCTAGGAGAGTCTGAAGAATTTTCTACGGTAAAAAGTATTGCCATAGCTTTTATTCTTAATATTCTCTAAGTAGAAACACATTTGAATAATTCTCAGACTCAAGCTAAGACTCTTGTTAAAATATCAGCATCGGATGACGCGCATTCGAGTCATTCACGTTTTTGATTTCGGTCCGCGAAAATACGTAATTTATATTTTCCCATATCTGTTTGAAAATAAATTTATAAAGTACTCTAAATGGTCCAATCTCTCTTCAGATATGTCATTGCGAAATATTTCACAAAAAAATTGTGTATTATCATCGAAGCGGGTAAAACCTGAGTACAGACTAGAAGGTATACAACGATGTTAAGACAGTTTTGGAATTTAACGACCTAATACGTGCTAACAATAAGTCCAGTTCAACGAAAATACAACCGAGTGTGCCGAGGATCATTTCTAACTTTATTTACCAATCTTTCCAATGTATTCTTCAATTGACTTGCTTGACACGTTGTCTTACTCGCAGCCACGTTGTTTTATTTATCGTAGACACGTTAAATCATCGGTAACGTCGCTCGCTACCAAAAATCGCAAACAGTACCCCAGCGCTGTCCACGCTTATTAACCTATAAAACCCCACCGACTCTCCCTTCTGTTCGCAGCGTGGCCACAGTCGGAAGCTTCCTCGCGCAAGCTCACACCACGGGTGCCTCCACCTGCCGTTAAGCTCTGCTATCAGTCTCGGCGAAGTGGTGGGGCTGGCACGGTCGCGAAAGAGCGTGCGTCTACGTCAGGCGAAGAGCTCCGAGCTTATTGGTCCCGGTCCATTGTTGCGTATTGATTGCTGCGGAGCAGTGGTATGGTCGTCCGGACACTCGGCCGTTCTCATCGCCGTTGTGGTCGTCGCCGTCGTCGTCGTTGGCACAGTCGAGCTGGTCGCGAAACGCGGACACACGCGCGCGGATAGAACCCCATATACATCCGGACGTTCTCCGTGCGTTATCCTCCTTGACATCCGGTTTAATACGTGCTACTTCATAACAAAAAAAATCTCCGACACAACCAAACCTCTCTCTCTCTCTCTGTCTCTCTCTCTCTCTCTCTCTCCACACGCAATATATATATATATATATATATATATATATATATACACATATATATATACACATATTTATATATATATATATGTATACATATGTATANATATATATATATATATATATATATATATATATATACACATACATACATACACATATTTATATATATATATATGTATACATATGTATATATATATACATAAATATAGCCACCAAATATTTATATATATATACAAATATAAAACGTGATGTGTGTGCAAGTTGGTCGCAGTCAGCGTCGTCAGCACGCGTGCGTGCGTGCGTATGCGTGAGCGGAGAGTGGCGGCGGGTTGTTTTCCGATTGTTTCGGGACCGGAAGCGACCTGCAGCATTGGCGGCGGCACGGCCAGCTGCCGCAGAGCGCGCGGTCCCCTGAGAAACGGGGTGTAGAGGGGTGACGGTGGCGGCGGGAGGAGGGGAGGTGAAAGCAGGTAGGCAGCAGCAGGTCCGCAGGAGACTAGGATCTAGGGATCGAGGGGAGCAGTGGGGTCGAGTGGATGAGTGAGCGAAAGTGAGAGAAGCTGCGGCGGGGAGGAGGGGGGGGTTTCCCGTGGAAAAAGTGGAG